ATCGAGATATTTGAGCTAGTTTCCCACTGGTCTCGACATGCATCTACCCTATACTATTTTCATCATACCACACTTCCAGAACTGATTTAAACTGTTCTTCAGTCCAAATTAGTGAGTTAGAGGCCTACAAACTCACACACGACCGCTCTGCTGCTAATTCGTATCACTTAGGGGCAATTTAAAGACTGAAATACTGATCTTGCTCGGATGTCGACACTGAAGAAAATTCGACAAGAATCTAAAAACCAATCTGGAGAAAAGCACAAGGTGGATCAGGAATTAATAAGTGAGCGACCAATTACGACCGTCACGCGAACCCACCGCAGAACACTCCTGCACCCCGTCGCCAACTATAACAACCTACAATAACCTGGGATATTATCTGATGATATTAGGTCCGTGACGCGTTTGCATTTACTTCTTGCATACAACGTTAACCAACTCCACCAACGTTTCATATGTTCGGACAAACACTGAGCATCACATGAAATTCCAACTGCCATGCACTGCAAGTTTTATTTCTCCGTCAGGTTTAGCGTTCCCATCAGGTCAACTACCAGTTCCACTAAACCACCTTTATCGCCAATCTAATAGTCGATTTCAGACCATTTTCATGAAAAGTCAATCCAGACGAAACAAAGCAATACCACTTCCCTGTCTGCTTTTTATCCTCACATACACTGCAAACTTAATCTCCATTCCTGCTCAGTATCGACCTGGCTACTTTTGGCTGTTGTCGGTCTCATCGGTGGATTTCTTGTGCCCGCTCTTTGGAGTGGACTGAGAGCTCGACATCTTTCCGAGGAAGAAGAACTGGCAGTCTGGGCCAGTTTCCAAAACATCGACAACCCCCTTACTCCGTGGCCTGAACTCTACGCGCAGTGAGTTTACTAATGAGGCCGTAAACATCCAGACTTGGTTTAACACACAGCATGCACTCGCAAAGACTTGTCTGCAAAGATGAGGACAACAGCATGAGAATTCTCGACATAGTTGACGACATCGGCCAGCACGATGACCTCGATTTCGGATCTAATGCTCTCGTCCGGGTTAAGAGCACGCCAGTATGACGACAACAAATAAATCAGGGAGAACCGTGCTTCTTTATTACTGATCACGCGCAATCATGCAAACATCTGTGAGGGTTTTAGATCCGGAGCCTCTGGGAGAAACAAGAAGACAGATTCTTGTTTGAAATCACAGTACTTCCGCACTATCCACACCCATAGAACTTGAAAAGGCTGTCTTCTAATCAAGTTCCTCCAACAGTCTTTCGCTATATGCTGAAGATATTTAAGCCTCAGCTATTGCTGCACTATGGGTAGATTCTTGGGGGTTTTGGAAATGTGCCTAATTTAAATTAAAGCATGCGAACTAAACTTCGATGTCAGGAAAGCACTAAGCATCCACAAGCGCATACTCCTGCTCATTTGACAAATAAAACAGTACGAATGCACCTGTTGCGCAATCGAAGGCTAGCTACTACTCCAGATGGAGTAGCCTTGAGTGTAAAGTAAGCTGCCCGCTGCACAGTCATTTTATACTCGCTCACTCGAATCACCAGCTCTAACTCTCACTGAACTGTATGTCCTCAGGAACAGTCAGCGCACCACATGCCGTAAACAACACTGGTCTGACCACCTAGACACATGTGATTCGTCCATGTACTGTAGACACCGGCTGGTGTGTGGCGTCGATCCTCAAGTCACGGACGAGGTTTTCTGTGACCTATGATGTTGCCTAATGCATCGCATATCCTGGTATCTGCCTCGTCTTCAACGACAGCCACTTCCCTCCGGAGATATCACAGGCATCTAATAATGAAGGTTCGGAGGTTAGCCATTCCCTCTGAAATAGTCACGCAGAAAGCTGACACAGAGGCTACTTTACCCCTGTATCTTCAATTCAGTACGTATTCTCCCACACAGAACCCTTGTGCAGCCGCGTTCGTCTGCCAACGCGTGGTTATGGTGTGAAGTTGAAGAGTTGAGTTGCATTCTACTGTTTCCACTTCTCCATCACCTTTAATTGAAGACATCTTGGGAGACGTACCTTTCATTATTTCGTTACTGTTGTTGTTTGGGACTATATTTAGAGAGTGCTATCGTTGTGTGTGCATTCAATATCTGTGTGTTTCAATGTTTGTTTTAGCGAATTAGACTTGCGTTATTCGCCGCGACTTAGTGAAGGCAAAGTCGGACTGGCCGAAGTGCGACGCGCCCTTCAGTTGACACGGAAGGTCACAAGAGTGGGATTGGCTTTGGGTATTGTGTGGTATCTACTCTTTTGGCCGTTGCTCACCTTCTCATCCAATTTTCTCTCCTTTTACAATTTCTATATTTCGGTAAGCCCCAAATCTATATGTACTGCAGAAAATAGTTCAATATCCCAATCATCCTTCATTTAGCCAATAATTCCTTCCCTTATTCGTCAACTTGTTAACCTTTTTCACTTTAATGTGCTTTTTATGAAATCCTTGAAAGCTTCCATTTTCCAAGGAAAGCTTCTCTGGCCTTCTTAGACGGTGGGCCGGTCGACAATTTATCAAATGTCTAATGGAAGAACTGTTGCTAATTTTTCAAACTGCGACTTTTGAAGCGTATTTTCTCTACCTGTTTAAGCGGTACTTGACTGATATTAAGATTTCCTTCATTTTCTAATCACTAATTTCAGACATTCCATACCCCCTTCGTCAAACAGCCTCACGAAATCGTTCAACACTTTTATTTACTCTCATAGCTGTCAATCCGCCATATGAAATCAGTTCGGGAAACTTTCTACAATAAATTAACATTGTGCAGCTAACAAATGAAGGATATCTGTCTTTCTGTATGAGTAATTGACAATGTCTCCAGGAAAAACGTGCGCAGTGTCGGGTTGTAAAATGGAAATTAAGAAGTCTGCATAGGAGTTTCAAAGTAAACAGGGTCATCACTGCTTCGTCTTACGAGTTGTTGTTTTCGGTTACTGGCACTTCCATATGATTTACGTAAGCTGTTTTACGATTTCAAAAGATTGGTTGCATCGTTAACTAGACACTAAACAGAAACTGGGTTCCAACTTCATCTATTCCCGATGTACGTTGAGTTATGGCCGCAAATTGCGTCCAAAAGGTGGGATAAATAGGTCACGGGAACAGGAAATCCACACATATTGCAGGTGTCCTAGCGTTGTCTAGGGTTAGGGTTAGAGTAAATGTTAAAATTAAATCTAGGTTTAGGACAGGGAAAAGGATGACCTTCATGGAATTTATCATAAGACCATCTTTTTTTACGGTGGTTGGCTCTTATCCGTGCGTATTACCTCCGGCAATATTTCATTAAGTTGCATGGTATTTCATTACATTATATGCGGTTGTTATGTCCGTTCTCTTCTAAACTTCTTCGATTCATCCGTTTGCTACTTGGGACTGCTTAACTAACCAGTCTTGTTGAGCAGTCGTCCCCCGATTTAGTAGAAGCAACGTTGCGTGCATAACCAGAGACTTGTTTTCAGTCAGCAGAAGTCGTTATTTTGGCGCTGATACGTCAACAACACTTTTCGTGTCACCAAAAAGATCTACTGCCGAATTTCCGTAGCCGGTTTAACGCGATGCTCCCAGTTATACAATTCATATATGCAGAGGAAAAGGAGAAATAGTTCCCCTTTCCTGCTGTACCATCAGACGAGATCCCACAAAGTGAGACAATGGTTTGTAATAAGACAACAAAGGCTCTATGAACGGGCTCAATCTCAATTCAGCAACTTGGAAGAGAGAGAGGGAGTGCGCGAGATCTGATACCTGCGCAATTGCCTCATGTGTATTGGTTAGCAGAAAGTCTTTATAGACTATCGACCACATATTCGCTTCCAGAGGACTATGAGAGAAACCCTGTCGAAGATATGACATGCTTTTCGTGAATAAAGGGTATTTCAGAGGCCGCGAGCGCACTACTGCGGGACTATATGTTGGAAATGCACACCAACAAAAAGCTACCATGCACAACCGGGAGTCATGATTACAGTAGACCAGCGGGTAATCTATTGCAGTTTATCATATCTCCTGTCTCAACTGTTCTTATACTCACATAGATCAGACAGAAAGTGAGCTTGGACCGTGCGTATACGAGTATAAGCTGGTCGTGTGACTGGATGATGATTGATCCGTAGTGACTGCGCACACTTTCGAAACTGGTCATGAATTCGATCTAACCCTTGCTGAAACATTGTGGTCTTGCGCCCGCATCTGAGTCCTGTGTAGCCATCATCAGCCTCGAAATGTACAACCTCCAACGTTCATACGCCGACGATTCGCATTTTGGCCATCATACCTCATCAGGCTCGTTAATTACTGAATTCACTTTTGTGGCGGTTAACCGATTTCAGTCTTGGATTTAAGATACCCTCTTTCTAAGTAAACTAACGAGGTCAGCATGAAGATTTTTAGACCTCCAACGTCTGTCATCGCCTTCCATATTCGGCCCAAAATGTGCCCCAAAATGCAGTCGTTTTCATCGCTGTCTTGTTTTTGTCCGCGGCTCATTTTCTTCTGAACAAAGTCCCGCACTTGATAACTTTATTCACCTTCTTTCTCCGCCAGATAATAGCTATTGAGGCGTGGAATGTTATGGTTCTCCTAGTCTGCCTCTTTATGCCAATACGCATGGCTCTGCTTAAGTTTTTGCCGTCAGGCGATGGTGAGGGCTACGAGAACGTAAAGCCGGAAAAATTTATCCCAAGACGGCATGCTGTAACATTCTCCCTGTCCTTGGCTATATTTTAGGACGTATCTTTACTTTGCTTCGTTACTTTTGTTGGTATGGATAGGGTGAAGGCCCCAAAGCAGCTTTGGCGTACAAGGCATACCTACTATGCTTATTTAAGTGATTTTTAGTTTGACACAATTATTTCGGTTTGGTGTTTCATCATACATGGTTGGGTCGTCTGTTGTTGACGGTTTGGTGCATTATCTACAATGACCTCAGCTCAGAGAGTTGGAAAGCGATCCTTTTAATCACTCGGTGCTTATTTTAATTGTCCTGCTAAATTTCGGTTGCTATATGTCAGCGCATTAAAACCTTCCCGCCCAAAAAACAAATTTACCATTCACTTATACTTATTTTGCCATCCCGCTATGCATGCATAGGCCCTGCCCGTAAAACCCTTATTAGCACCTTTCCGGTAAGGCAGGCACCTTTGGCTCGTCATGTGCGTTTGGGGGTCTTCACCTGATGGTTGCCCTTTTGTTGTTCGGTGAAATATTTAATTATTTCCGTTTTTGTTTGAACGTTCAAGGTCTGTGTATTTTAATATTTATTTTATCGAACTAGACTTACTTTATTCGCCGCTAACCAATGAAGGCAAATTCGGACTGGCTGAAGTGCGATGCTCCCTGTATTTGACTCGGAATGTCGCGAAAGTGGAACTGATTTTAGGTTTTGAGCGATATCTACTCTCTTGACCGTTGGCCACTCTTTTGTTATTTTCGGGTTCTTAACATAGGATTTCTTCAAATGCGAACGTGAATATCGACTCTATTTTAATTTCTTATTTCTCATGTATTCGACTATTTTTAATTTTAGCATTTGCTGTGTGCATTGGCGAGTGGCTGTTGGTTTATTCACAAAGGTTCGTATGTTCCATGAGTTTTACCAACTACTACAACTACTATTTGCCATCTGATTGAAAAATTTGCAGGTACAAGAGAACAATTTTCTCTAAACCTGCATGTTACCGTGTGAATCAATCTACTAATCAATCTGTTCTTCCCCGCGATTGTAACTCTTTCTACGAACGACTGTTCCAAGTGCATTAACATCTGGTCTCTGCACTCACAGTCTAAAGCATTTTGATGCTCGCTTCATTTTACTTAATGCATTTGACGACCCGAGGGCTAGTTGGAACGGATTCTACCTTACGGACTCCCTCTTACTTCTCTGTCGGAAAGCAGTACACTTACGGACGCCAATTATACCATTCATTTGACCTTCATTACTTCGAGCTTCAAAGATTTCAGCATGGCCTGTTTTACCGTCATTTGGTAACACAGCACACCATAACAGCCACTTTCAGACAGGGAATGGATAATCCATACAGAATGCTTTGAACGCAAAGAAAGCCAGACTTAGCATAGTGGGCCAATTTTTGTGAAAACGACGAGACACACGGGGAGACGTTACAACAGTGAAGAAAGGACGCAATGATGAATGAAGTCAGAACAAGAGAAGCAAAGTCATGTGATGATGGGGAATTATGATATTGTATCCTTGATCACTTTATCCCGGCCTAGAGTGGAACACGGTCTAAAATAAACGAAATGGACAATGTTTAAAAGGTTAATCGACAGAAAACCATGAGCTGGCGCCGTTCCAATTGCGTGATGTTTTTGGTTCTGACCAATCACAAAGCGCCATGCTGGAATGAAACGATCCATTCACTAATGAAAGAAGACTTTAACCCTGACATCGCCCTACACGCGCCAAATTCTTCCAAAAATTATACTTCATGTGCACGAGACATAGGCTTCGTCAGTAATTGCGTAAGAAGTACTCCTTTGGGTGTTTATGCAGATTCCGGCTGTGCTCTGAAGCTGACGATTTTTCGCTACTGCAGATCCACCTCCTAGTCTACGACTTCGTCAGTCAAGTCAAATCATTATATGCCCAAAATCCTTCATTTCCATCTGGTTTTCCTTTTTATATAATTCTTGCACCTTGCATGTTGGAGTCTTCGTTGTCAGCATGAGAAGTTCCTCGAGATTTACCCGCGAAACATGCAGAAGTTAAAGCAAAAAGACAGGAAAGACCTGAATTCAAAAAAAACAAAATAGCCGTTTCAGCTTGAGTGAAAATGTGTAATGCTAATGCTGAAGCAGCCAAGTACAGATGTGTCGGGAGTGGAGACTTTCCAAGTAGGAAGGGAGGATATGAGTTAATGAACCACCAAGAATGTAGCTAGTGTTTCTCATACGGATGGTAGGAGATATTTCAACATTTAGCATTACTATTAAGACCGAAAATGTCAAAAGTGTCATCAAATAAAGTGCAGGTAACACATTAAGACAACGATCTTTTTTTAAAAGAAAATAAGTAGTAACTGGTTTCCCTAGATAGAAACTTACCAGGGAGGATGTTACAGCATGCCGTCTTGGGATAAATTTTTCCGGCTTTACGTTCTCGTAGCCCTCACCATCGCCTGACGGCAAAAACTTAAGCAGAGCCATGCGTATTGGCATAAAGAGGCAGACTAGGAGAACCATAACATTCCACGCCTCAATAGCTATTATCTGGCGGAGAAAGAAGGTGAATAAAGTTATCAAGTGCGGGACTTTGTTCAGAAGGAGATGAGTCGCGGACAAAAACAAGACAGCGATGAAAACGACTGCATTTTGGGGCACATTTTAGACCGAGTATGGAAGGCGATGGCAGATGTCGGGGGTCTAAAAATCTTCATGCTGACCTCGTTAGTTTACTTAGAAGGAGGGTATCTTAAGTCCAAGACTGAAATCGGTTAACCGCCACAAAGGTGAATTCAGTAATTAACGAGCCTGATGAGGTATGATGGCCAAAATGCGAATCGTCGGCGTAAGAACGTTGGAGGTTGTAAATTTCGAGGCTGATGATGGCTACACAGGACTCATATGCGGGCGCAAGACCATAATGTTTCA